GCAGTTAAACAACCGTTTTCAATGACAGCAAGGCGAAGACCTGGACGACAGTTAGACAACTGCCTTGTGTGTTTCCTTTGTGTGCCTAGGACCTCTCATATATGTGTGCTTGTATTTCTGTTTGATTCAACGATGTTTTGATGAGTTCAAGCATACAATCTACTACTACGTATTGACGAATGTAGATACACAACGAAGTGCTGCCAAAACTCTGCTCAACCAGAACACTCACTCTACAAGCTAAGCTTGGCATAACTACTCACTTGGTTCACAAGTGATGTTAAGTGTTGCCTAGTTTTTGTTTGTGGTACTGAGTTAATCGCTTCCGCATAGTACTTGAAGTTAACACGTGGTATCAAAGGTGGTCCTTAGTCATTCTCAACGTATCCATCGATGGGGTTGCCTGGAGAAGAAGGGAACTCACCCCCCGCAAGTAGCGGCAGCCAGGAATCTGGTGTCTCCGCGCCAAGGACAGCCCGGACGAACCAGGGCCCGCTACTAAGAGAAGTGCTGAAGAACTTCTCAGTCGACAAGTTCTGTGGAGAAGGTTATGACGACTGGTCCTGGAAGATGCAGCTGTACTTTTGGCAGATAGGCCTTATAAAGCTGTTAATAGGCACCGAGGAATGACCCAGTACCCCGGAGCTGCAAAACGAGTGGAACGAGCGCTCATCCACCGGGTACTACATCCTGTCCCAAAGTTTGGATCTCGCCCAACGCCAACACATCATGCACCTCCTCCCGGAAGAAAAGTGTGGACCCAAGGCATGGAGACTGCTCAAGGAACTGCACGCCCCCACATCATTTGTAGCTACCCTCATGTTGTAGAGGGAGCTCTCCAACCTTCGTCTCAGTGAAGAAGAACCCGTCCAACCCGTCCTAGACAAGCTGAGAGACCTCTACGCCAAGCTCGCCATCGCTGGAATTTTCTACCCCGAACAAACCAAGTGTATGAAGATGTTGTCGCTGCTGCCGGAGTCATGAATGATATTCACAAGTGGCCTGAGTCTCCCTCAAAACCAGAGCTCCTGGACCTTGGAGTGGATCCGCAGGACGATTATCGAGGAGGACTTTCGGAGGCGCCAACTGAGGGGAGGAGAAGAGGGGAGCAGCAGCTACGCCATGCAAGGAGGAAAGAGGGGCAGAGGCAAGAAATGGCAAGGGGCTGGGAGACGAGCTTCTAAGGAGGAGGAGCCCTCCAACCAGCAAGGCGATAGAGGAGCAGGACGTGATGGAGGCCGAGGAGGCAGAGGGGGAGGAAGGGGACCCGGTAGAATGGAGGGCAAGTGCTGGTATTGTGAGAAAGTGGGTTATCCGTGGTTTAAATGCAGAACTAAACCCTGTTGGTGGACCCCCTCCAACAGGTCACAAGATGGGAGCGGCTGAACACAAAGAAAGGGAAGCCGGACAATTCTTCCACGTTGAAGAGCCGGGAGAGGACGCTGTGGCCGCACACGCTGGAGCTGCACTGCATCCGCTCAACACGTGGATCTTGGACACGGGGGCAGCATGGACCATGACTCCAAGGGCTGACCTCCTTGAAGAAGTGGGGACTGCACCGATTGCGGAGGTGAAGTCGGCATCCGGGCACGCTCGCAAGGTGACGGGGGCGGGACGTGCTCAATTCAAGGGAGCTGATGGCAAACCAGTGGTGCTAAGTGATGTGCTTCTAGTCTGTGATCTCAAAGCTAACCTTATCTTCCTCAAGAAGCTAGGAAAGTGCGGGGTCAACACCAACACCGATGGTGCCAAGACATACACGGGGCAGCTGGGACAGCGGGTGTTGTGGGACCTTCACGAGAGCCGTGACATCTGCAAGTCTATGTGGCAGCTGCCGGTTGTGCCATGGAGCAAGGAGGGAGAAACTCAGGGGGAGTGCAATGCTGTAGCTGCAAAGGAGCTGAAGGTTTCGGCAAAGGGTAGAGAAACTTACTGGATGACAGCTCACCGCCACCTCGGGCATATTGATATGCCCGCACTGCAGCAACTGCACAAGGAGGAAGGGGTTAAGGGACTAAAGCTGACAGGTGCAGCAACAACCCACAAGTGTGAAACTTGCTTGCTAAGCAAGTTTACTCGGTTCCCGTTCCATGCAACCGAGGGTGGCGGTAAGAAACTGTTGGAACTAGTGCACATGGATGTGGTGGGGCCGCTACCGGTTGTGGGGGAGCGTGGTGAGAAGTACTTTCTCACCATAGTGGATGATTGGAGCCGAGTTACCTGGGCATACCCCATCAAGAAGAAGGACCATGTGCCGTCCACCATACGTGATGAATGGCTGCCATTCGTGGAGAAACAGTCTGGGCAAAAGGTGAAGCGGATCAGGACTGATAGGGGTGGGGAGTTCCTTGGGGAGGAGTCGACTGCATGGCTGAAGAAGCAGGGCATCATTCGAGAACTCACCACCTCTTACACTCCACAGTCCAACGGCATAGCGGAACGGGCAAACCGCACGGTGTTAGAAACGGCACGGGCACTTCTCATCGAATCGGGGTTAGGGAACCCAAGGTGGCCACATGCTATGCGCCACGCCTCGGTGGTTAAGAACAGGGTGTTCACCAACGTCGGTGGTGAGTCATGGGTCCCCATGGAGAGGTGGCTTGGGAGGAAGCCGCCAATTGACATTTTGCGTGTGTTTGGCTGCATGGTTGTGGCTCACATCCCCAAGGCACATCGCAACAAGTTGGGTGCAACGGCTGTATGGTGTGTGCATTTGGGGCTAGCAGCTGAAAGCAAGGGGTGGCTGCTGTGGGAGCCGAGCAAGGGAGTCATGTTTGACAGTAGGGATGTCAAGTTTATGGAAGATATCACCTACGGGAGCTAGTCCAGGCAGCCAAAGGAGCAGATCGTGCAGCAATTGCAGCAGGCAACCATGGAGTTTGAGGTTGAGGAGGAGTGGGTTGGGGAGGAGACCGCAACGCCACATGAGGAGGAGGGTGCAGCAGAGCTTCCCGTGGTCAAGGGCGTGGAGCCAACGGGTGCACCTGAAGAACCTCACCCCATAACACGTGTGAAACCCCCCACCCTTCCCTCAAGAAGGACCCAAACCAAATCCCTTCCCACAGGCCGTTTTCTCTCACCCATTGTCGAGAGGCAGATGCGAGCAGCCGCGTTGAAGCTGAGGGATTACGGAGGAACAAGGGGAGAGCAACAACAACTTGATGCACTGCTGGTGCTGGAGAGCAGCCGTGATCCTGGTGGGGAAGGAGAGGAGGAGGTATACTGTTTCATGGCACTTGCACCAACGTAGCCACTGACCATGGATGAAGCCCTTAAGGGACCAGACCGGGACAAGTGGCTGGCATCAAGAGATGTTGAATATAACAGCCAAATGGAGAATGGGACATGGGAGATGGTGCCACTACCGGAGGGGAAGAAAGCCATAAGCTGTGGCTGGATTCCAAGGATTAAAACTGACAACAAAGGAGCCGTGTCAGTTTATAAGAGCAGGCTGGTGGCAAGGGGTTATCAACAGAAAGAAAGGGAGGACTTCAAGGAGACATTTGCTACAACTGCCAAGTCACCAACATTGTGTGTTCTCCTCGCCGGTGCAGCTATGTGTGGGTGGGTGATAGTGCAGATGGACATCACCACAGCCTTCCTCTATGGACTGATAGATGTGGAGGTGTTCATGTCACAGCCGCCAGGTTATGAGGATGGCACCGGGCGTGTGTGCAAGCTGAAGAAGGCCATCTATGGCCTCAAACAAGCACCACGCTGCTGGTACAGGAAGTTGTCTTCGTTTCTAGAGGAGATAGGGTTCAGGGCGAGTGCATGTGACGAGGACCTTTTCCTCATGGGGGAGAAGGAGAGCCTCGTCATGTTCCTGGTATACGTGGACGACATCCTCTTGTTTAGGAGCAGCAAGCAGGAGGTAATGAAGGTGCAGCATAAGCTGATGCAAAACTTCAAATGCAAGACCCTGGGGGAGGCGAACTACTACCTAGGAATGCACATCGAGAGGGATGTCAGCAATGGATGGGTGAAATTGCACCAGGAGAAGTACATCAATGACATGGGGAGCAAGTATGAGATAGAGGTCGGAAGGAAGATCACCACACCTCTTCCATGTGGATTTAAACTTATCAAAGCTAGTGAGAACGAAGGAGTGGATCAGCAGGAGCAGGCTCGTTTTCAGTCCATGGTGGGGAGCTTGCTCTATGCAGCAGTACACACCAGGCCGGACATCTCCTTTGCTGTGGGGCAGCTGGCCAGGGTGGTGCAAAATCCCACCGAGGAGCAGGTGGACGCATCAGACCGTATCATCTAGTAACTGAACTCCTACCCCACTGTTCAGTACTTCACAGGAGTCTTATATCTAGGGGGATTACAGTACATACATAGAACCCTAAACTCTGAAAATTCAGAGCTGCAAAAAAAAAACCAAAAAAAAAAAGGAAATTCTGTGTCGTAAAATATATAACGTTGAAAGTTCAGGGCCGGTACACAAAACCAACTTAAAGTTCACGAAAATCATGGTAAAACGAAACACACACTCATGAATGCAACATCACCAAAATGAATGCGTCGAACAAACAGCAACTCTGAGCTCTCCACCATGGCTTCCTGACAGTTGCCTGATAGTGACATTGCGTGAAGCCTATTTATCATTTGGCTTTAATTTCCACATCATTGGATTCGTTACATCTTCATGTAGAAGACTACATAACTTTTGTGTTCAATAGGCGAACATTATATCGTTTTTTCAAAGGTGCAATGTGTTGTGTCAAGAAGCTAAGTCCAAGGATATCACGTGCCTCCCAAGGCTTCAAACTAACTCTAAGGAGCCACCTCCGCTGACTATTATTGGTCACTATAATTCTGTGCAACGGGATGATCCCGAAGTGTTATCCTCGGTTTCACAACATCCCTCCTAAGAGCATTGGTCTTCTACTGGTACCACCAGCGTACTTAACAATGAAGTGCTCAGATATCCGGCTCATCAGTCTTATCAGCTCTTATCATTGGAGCTTCTGCCGGCTCACTGTTATCATCGCACCATGCCTCCAAAAGGCTCGCACATTAAGGCTCTGGTTGAGGCTGTTCCTGACGGTCCTCCTGGTGGACCAGATCCTGCAGGCAAAACAGCACCAAGCAAGCAATCAAACGGCGTTAACAACCTTCCATCGGAAGCTGAAGTGACGGCTGGTGGATCTGGTCTCTCGATTGAAGATAAGCTAAAAGCGCTCGCGACAGTTGCTGCAGACGATGATTTCATCGAGGATGATTCTGATGAAGAGCTCGAGATTGATATGGCTAAGAGCTCTTACCCGCATTTGCGCTTCACTGTAATCCTGATTTTCCTGGTCATTCCGTCTCCGGAAGTCGCTTTTGTTATCTTAACCATGAGAACACTGATGAGCGTGTCTGGTCGAACATCCTTACTGATGATGTTCTCTCTTCGGTGAAGTTTCAGGAGCTGCTCCCTACTTTCGTCATGAAGACTCGCTACAGCCGTCTCCAGGTCTCTTTCATGCACAAGGCTGACGCTGTGAACATCAAGCAGACAATGGTGGACCACAAACTCTCGAATGGCTCGACGATCCACTGTTTCTGGCTTCACCAGGAGGATGCTATTTACGTCCGCAAGAAAGCTTCGAGCCCGCAGCTGTTGGAGGTCTACTTTAAGAACATTCATGGCGACATCCCGTCTGAGCTGGTTAAGGAGGTCATGGTAACTCACTCACTCAAAGTCCGGAAGCAGTCCGCGTTTGCTGAAGGCCACTGCTTCCACCGCGTGCTTCACCCGGTCACCGGAGCTGATACGGACAAAATCAAAGGGTTGGTGGCCAAGCATACTAGCGACAAGCACCGTTGGCGTCATGAGTTCCGCCACCAGCTGCTTGGAGGGACGGACTTGTTGGCCCACTACCCTCTGCTATCCTGCTCGCTCTGTGGTGGTACCCATTATGACAAATATCATAATGCCTACATCACGGAGCGTCAGAATAACATAGGGAAGTGGAGTTTAACAGTGGGCCAGGTGCATAGGATTAATGGTAACTGTGACTTTGTGGCTGTTGTTGCTTTACGTCACCCTCATCAGTTGCTGAGATGTTGCTTGTCCCTCGTAGCTGCTTCCCTCCACGCTTCCCCGCTAGTCACCCCACTCCTCCTGGATGCGGCGTTTGTGCAGATCTCCACTGGGAGCAACAGGGAGGAATGGCTGTGCACACTGAATAGTTGCGGGAAAACGCACGGCAAGTCGTTCATGTCCGCTGCGGACCACATCACCTCGGCAAGTCACTTGCTGGGTCTGGAGAAGCTGGGTGCGACCACCCTCAGTTCCCTGGAGAAGCTGAACCTGCATCTCATTCGCAAGGACTACAAGATTTGAGACCTTCGCTCTCATACCTGAAGCAGAGTTGTGCAGTGGTTGCGATTGTTTGCTCTCGAGTAGTTGTAGTCGGTATCACCATCCCGTGGATGCTATGGGGCTTTTCAACAGTGGTTAAATAAGTACAAAAAGTCTTATATCATTTGCAGGCCTGAACGTCAACAGCCTGGGGGACAGAAACAAGCACCGGTGCACAAAATCTTGGATAAAACAAGCTGCCGATGTCATTGTACTTGCTGACGCCAGGCTCACAGACGACCACTCATACTGGAATTCTTTAAGACTACCCAACATCATTGTCGCCTCACCTACCACAAAGGCCGGAGGGGTGGCACTGATCTGTCACAGACATGGTCTCTCACTACACAACTCTCTCATCTACCCGTCTGGTAGACTCATTGCAGCAGAGATTCACCTAGATTCTTTCTACATCACCTTGATAGTCGTATACTTCCCAGTGGATGCAGCTGAAAGGAAGGCCTTTATCCGCATGACGCTGGGCCCAGTGATCGACTCAGTGCAGCCGGTTGCACACCTGCTCATTCTGGGGGACTTTAATCTGGTGGAATACTCGCCGCTGGGAGAATTCTGTCGCCAACATCTTTGGAGCGGTTGACGGCAGTCTGGACGGAGAAGGAGGTGAAGGATGCTTTTCACTCGATGGCAAAACATAAGGCCCCGAGGAGAGATGGGCTGCCGAAAGAGCTGTTCGAGGAACACTGGGACGTCTTGGGAAAGCATTTCATGAACTTGGTGGGGTGTTTCACGGAATCGGCGACGCTCCCTGCAAGCACAAAAGACGTTGTCACTATACTGTTGCACATGAAGGGAGGCCGCAACGCATCACGCTACTAAGCTTCACTTACAAGGTGTTGGCGCAGGTGGTCGCGGACAGGATGAAAGGGGTTTTTCACGAAGTGATCTCACCGGAGCAATACGGGTTCCTGCCGGACCAGAGGCTGTCTGATACAGTGGGGCTGGTCGCGGATGTGATTGAGGCTGCAAAAAAAAAAAAAAAAAAAATTTGCGGACTGGTATCTCCTGCTGGTGGATTTCAAAAAGGCCTTCGACTCGGTCTTGAGGAGCTATCTGTCCACGGTGGTGGAAAAGATGGGCTTCCCCAGCAGCTTGTCAGCTGGATCAGGGGCCTGCATGAAGACACGCAGACGAGGCTGTTAGTCAACAGCTGGATGGGGGAAGCAGTGGAGGTGGTGTCGGGGGTACGGCAGGGCTGTCCCCTTGCGCCTTACCTCTTTCTGTGCGCAGTGGAGCCTCCGGCGCAAGAGGCCGCAAACCAGAATCTGGGGCTCACTGATGGTGATCAGCGGCTAGCGTACCTGGGGTATGCCAATCATACGGCGCTTTTCCTGCAAGGGGAGGAACAAATCGCGGAGGCAGAGCAGCTATTAGATGACTTTGAAAGGGACTCGGGGCTGGCTACGAACAAAACAAAGTCGGCAGTCTTACCTCTGGGATGTAACCTGAACAAGCAGACCTGCAAGACGGACGGCTTCAAATGGGTGAAGGCGGACAAAGCGGAAAGATTGTTGGGAGTGTGGGTGTCACTGGCCGGCTGTTGTACGCCCACCTGGGAAAAGGCTTTCGCACGCATAAAAGAGAAGATGAGATAGTGGGAGGCGCAACATCTGACAACTAGCGCGAGAGCAGTGGTGATCAACTGCTACATCTCGCCAATTATTTTCTTCCAGGCGCATGTGTACCCTCCTCCGGTGGACATATGGGAAAGAATCCTGAAGCTGACACATAACTTTATGTCAGGAAACCGAGCTTCCATGGACAAGGGCTTCATTTTGTGGAGTAAAGAGTTGCTGTACATGGCAAGGGAGGACGGGGGTGTTCGAGGGAATGATCCGGAGATCCCCCTCACCTACCTCACAGAGAGACGCATCGGATCGCTCCTCACCAAGACGAATGAGCTGAAGCGGGACATGATACTCAAGGCCGCTGACCTGCCGCTGGGGCTGGACACCTTTGTCTCGCATGTCAAGCTCCTAAAGTGCTGGCGCAGGAAGAGTGAGAGATGGAAGTTGGCATGTGGGAACTTCATGCAATCACCGCTGGGTGACACATCGCCGACTTCATCGCGGGAGGAGGTAGAGAGGGAGAGAATCATCTTTGATCGCCATACTTTGCTGAACACAAAAACCCCAGTAGGAGGGCAGAAGGTGGCGGCGAAGGTATGGGAAGTCCGGCTGGGGGACCTGCTGTGCCCGGACGACGTGGGGGGCCGGCGCGCAAAAGACGTAAAATATGTGGTGAAGGAGCTTGGCGGTACCAAGCAAGCGAAGCTAGCACTACGGGCCTGGGAAGCTGTACCGCAGAACTGGAAGCTGCTTCTCCTGCATGCTGAGCAAAGGCAGGAGCCCCGTCTGCCCCTGAGGGTCCCTCTCCAGAGAATCCCGGTGCTCAGCGGTGGGCAGCTGACGATGGACAGGGAACTGAAGGTTAACTGGCAGCAGAGAAAGCATCAATCCGCCAAGAGGGAACTGTGGGTGGGCAGATGGGCCGGAGAAATAAATTGGAAGGAGGTGACTAAAATCCGCGACTCTCTGGTAACCTCGAACAGGCCGCGCGATGTGTTGTTGATAATTCACAGACTCAATTTGCAAGTGGGGGAAAGGCTCTCTTTCCTAAGCGGCAAACCGATCTGCCCACACCGCAGGGAGTTTGAAACTTTGGAGCACTGCCTTTTCACCTGCTCGCGCATTCAACGTGTGGTGGTGGCAGTCAGGCGTGCCATGCGCATGCTTCACCGGGCGAGGCAAGTGGTGGACCTGGACGATTTACTGTTTGGCAAGGCAGCGTCCACCTCAACCTTTCCAGAAGCCTCGCTGGCTGCCATTGCGGTGCACCAGATCTGGGCAGAAAGATGCGAGTGTGTGAGAAGAAATTTCGGGCTCGGCACGTCCTCAGGCGTATCGAGGCAGCCTTTCGGCTGCATCTGAAGATGTACACCCGCGCAATGGGGAAAAAGATGGAGAGGGGTGGTGGTTCGAAACGACACGGGAAGGCATATGCGCTGGTGGAACAAGAGGACAGTTTGCTTGGACGTATCCGATGCATGGAAGAGAAGGGTTGGAAGTGGACCCGGAATTTTGGCGCTCTGTAGAATTTTGCGCGGGGGGCTCTGCATCTCCCTTAGACGCTGCCTCTGAGATCGTTACCATTGTTCCGGCCTCTCATGCTCAGCGTATACGCTTGTATCACGAGTGTATAGTGAACATATTAAAATAAAAAATAAAAATACAAACAAACAAACAAACAAACAAACAAACATTACCAAAACAAAACACAACTCATGAACCGATGAGAGGTGGTTCATAAACCGTAAACACATACATGTAAAGCACACAAATACACATCTCACGCAGTACAAATTACCTTCAAACAAAAACCTTCGTTTTCCTTCACCGTCGCGTCATTGAATAGGCAGTACCGGTAGGTTAACTTAGGTTAACAATACAAGCTTCCCGGCAGGGCCCAAAGTTGGTTCTGGCGCACCTTGACAAATGAGGGTTCATGGTGCCCGTACCTTGACCCCTAGGGTAATGTTTTTCGTACCCTGCTGGAAACAGCCTAACAACATCCATACACTGATTCAGTTAGGCTGTTTGCACTGTATTTTTTCTAACTCATATGTAACAGTCCACATTATTAAATAACCTCTAACCTTGCATCTACTCAGAGTCTGGCACACTAACAACCACTTCTTCAGCTACAAACTGAGCCTCGCTGGCCTTGCTCCCATCAAAGTCTCTGGTGGAGCGTCTGAGCTCCTCTCCGCGAAAAATGGCGACCACCTTGTACCAGCCGATGTCGTACTGCATCAGGGAACAGCGCATTAGGTGCTCCGGACTTGTATCGCCGATGCTGCCGCGTCCCCAGGTCTTTATCAAATTCTGCTTTCCAAATCCACTCTCGCATTCAACCGTGCTCAAAGGCGGCACGGCGACAGACTGCCACATACGCATTATATTGGGGAATGATTGTTGCCAAGCATCGTCCCGCAACATGTTCCCCAGCGCCTGATGAAACTCTTTGTTGTTGTGCTGGAAGAACGTCGTGGATGTGAACATCCACAATTCCTGACCCGCCCGCTGAAAGTTGAACCCTGTTATGGGGAGAGACGGGGTTGATACTTAGGCTATGCTCACAGACACAGATAGGAGTGGGGAGCATTAGTCCAACAAGAACACATGTTGTCGACATGCAGGGAAAAACTTAGTGGCACAGATAATGAGACATAACGCAAAGCAACTACCATATAAACTCATAAATGCAGATTCAGATGCAAACAACGCATCAACTCACCTGGGAGCTTGCTTTGGTAGAGCTTGTGCAACTGGCCTAGCCACTTCTTAAATGTCTCTACGCGCTTGCTCTCGTCTGGAACGTACGAAGCTGTACGAAACAGCTTTGAACCTTCCAGCAGGTTCAGGTCGCGCATCCGCCACTCCAACTCGGTGTCGACGGCACGGATGAACTTCAAAGACAGCTCGACGCACGCGGTCACGTCGTCGTCCGTGTCATGTCCAGGCAGTGGCCGCTCATGGAGGGTGAAGACGAAGGAGACGGGATTCCCGTCATTGTCAACCCCCTCCGCTCGCATCTCTCTCTTCTCCTTTGGCTGGTGGTTCACAATGAACGCCGACAGCTGCGTCTTCTCTACGCTGCCAAAATGGTGACCAGGTCACATGTCAATTGCTTTACGCCTACCATTAGCCATGCAATTGAGGCGTAGCCATTCAAATTTACCTGCCCACTGCGTGTCAAACGTACTCTTCACCGCTTCGTACTCAGATTCTGCAGTAGCGGCATCCGCAAAATTGTGTGGTCCCCATGTGAAGAAATGAGGAATGGTTAGGAGCCATAGCTAGGTAAGCCCTAGCTAGGCAAGAGAGAATGAGCAAAGGAGGCTATTCACTAGAAAGCAGCAGGATACATATAGGAAACCCTAAGGGATTGTACTCGCTATAGAGTACCCCACTGCAGGCTAGAGAACAATAACATTCTGACACCCCAATCTGTCCCGAAACCATTCTGTCCCAGAACCGACACAAATCTGTCCCGAAACTATCTTGAAATACACTTTCGGGACATTTTCGTCTACAAGCGCTTTTGCGCTACAATTTAACATGTCCCGAAAGTGATTTGTGCTGGAATCTGTCCCGGAAGGTTTTTATTGCAACGCGATCAGACTCAGGTTCGATGCTCGTCGATGTCAGTTCCATACCGTTGAGCGTAGATTTTGTTTATGTTTTTCGTTCTTGTGGTACCCTTCTGGAACAATTTCATTACGAAATATAACTACACCAGAACTTCTTACGGTTTCACGTGTAACTATTCCGGCCTTTTTTGCGTTTTTTTTTTTCAGTTTATGTGCTGTAATGGGAAAGTAAAAAAAATGATTAAAAAAAAAACTGGTGGTAATCATAATCACTCAATGTTACCGAAATGTATCTGTTACTACGGTCCCGCACTCTAAACCGCTGCGAAACTACTGAAACCCATCCACAACTCACCCTAAACCCAATCGTGTTGCTGCAAAAGAGCGTTTTGCTCTCTTTACTGTCAAAAAAATGTACATACCGTATCACCCAAAATATAAGCGCAGACCTATGTTAAGCGCATGCGCTTATATTTGGAGCAATGCGCTTATGGCCGATCCTCGATTATAAGCGCACCCTCTGTAAAAACTTGACTTATTATAAGCGCAAAAATAATCTACTATTAAATCCTGATTAAAACAGTAACGATTTCCCTTTTTGCAGCGAGTTCAGATCCGTTTTTACTTTGTTTGACTCACTCGAGGGCGAGTGATTCACAGGAGAAGCGAAACGGCGCGATGTGAAGCTGACTGACTGACAGCACATCGTTGGGAGGGGGGGGGAGGGAAGAGGGGCACTGGAAATGACTGTCATGTGCGTTGTGTGAGTGAAAAAGGGGCGGGCGGGGGGGGGGGGGGGGGGGGGGGGCTCGAGAACAGGCTGTCAGAACATTATAGCTTATGCATTTCTGTAGGCTGTAGTGGGGTAGCCCATAAGGGGTACAACCCAATTAGGGTTAGTACTTGTACCGAACTGTTTCATAGTTCATTCATCCATTCTCACTTCTCGTCATGGTATCGAGCAGGTTCCCGAATGGGAATACTGCCTAGGGCCCACCACAAACTTTTTTTTCCTTCCTTGCCCGGAGCGCGCTTCGCTCCTACCCGAGTAGCACCTCGAGCCGCCCTTACGGCCCCTCCGCGGCCCCGTTTGGCCACTTACGGCCCCGTCGCAGCCCCGCCTAGGCCCCTCCGCGGCCCCGTCATGCCTCTTACGGCCCCGCCTAGGCCCCTTACGGCCCCTTAGCGGCCTCGCTTAGGCCTCTTATGGCCCCGTTGCGACCTCGCCTAGGCCCCTCCGTGGCCCCGTCTGGCCCCTTACGGCCCCATCGCGGACCCGCCTAGGCCCCTCCACGGCCCCGTCGTGCCCCTTACGGCCCCGCCTAGGCCCCTTTACGGCCCCTCCACCGCCCCGCCTAGGCCACGTCTGGCCCCTAACGGCCTCGCCTAGGCCCCATACGACCCCTCCGCGGCCCCGCCTAGGCTCCTCCGCGGCCCCGTCTGGCCCCTTACGGCCCCTTTGCGGCCCCGCCTAGGCCCCTCCGCAGCCCCGTCTAGCCCCTTTACGGCCCTATCTGGCCCCTTTACGGCCCCGCTACGACCCTGTGTGGCCCCCTTTACGGCCCCGCTACGGCCCCCTTTGCGACCTCGTCGCCACCTACGGCCCCGTCGCCACCTACGGCCCCGCCGACACCTGCGGCCCAGCCGCCACCTGCGGCCCCGTCGTCACCTGCGGCCCCACCGCCACCTGCGGCCCCACCGCCACCTGCGGCCCCGCCGCCACCCCTGACCTCGTCGCCCTACCCTAGCGGCCGAGCAGCACAGCAGCCGAGCCGCCCGCCCGCCGAGCAGCTGAGCCGCCCTGCAACCGAGACGCCCTGCCGCCGAGCCGCCGAGCCGCCCAGCAGCCGAGCCGCCCAACAGCCGAGCCGCCCTGCCGCGTAGCCGCCCAGCAGCCGAGCCGCCCTGCAGCCGAGCCGCCCTGCCGCCGAGCCGCCGAGCCGCCCTCCTGTCTAGTAGCTGTTGTTCCTCCCGGTGCTCCCCGGCCCCTCCTTCCTCTGACTGGTGAGCTCCCTTCCTCCTAGACCACTGCACTCATGGCTACCCCCAGTGTCCTCACTTTTGATGCTGAGGGCCGTGCCGTTGACTTTGAGGTCTGGGTCGATGACCTCCAGCTGTTTCTTCACTGTGATAGGGCAGACGGTCTCTCCCTGTTTGACCTCACTTCTGGTGCCTCTCCTGCCCCTACTGCTGATGCTGACGCCACTGTTCGCTCACACTGGGCCAAGCACGACGCTGTTGCTCGCCTTGCAGTGCGCGGCCACTTACCGACCACTGAGCGTGCACACTTTAGCCAGTACAAGAGTGCTCAAACCTTGTACGACGCTGTAGTTGCACGCTACTCTTCCCCTGCCACTGCTGCACTGAGCTGCCTCGTGCTACCGTACCTCTTCCCTGACCTTGCTGCCTTTCCCACAGTAGCTGACCTCATTACGCACCTCCGCGCTAGTGACACTCGCTACCGCGCTGCGCTTCCTCCTGAGTTCTGCGCCAAGAACCCCCCCCCCATGTACATCACCCTCTACTACATAGTCACCCGCCTCCCTGACTCTCTCCGCCTAGTCAGGGACCACTTCCTCTCAGTTTGCCCCACTACTCTCACCGTTGACCTCCTCGAGAAGGCCCTCCTAGCGATAGAGAAGAGCATAGTCGCTGTAGGAGCCTCTCGTGGTGACCCTCGCACCCCCGTCTTTGAGGGGTGTTCTCCCTCCCCCCTCTTGCCCTCTATTGCCAGTGCTGCTGCGGCCGACCTCGTTGGTTTCGAGTCGGTCGGCGCTG